GAAAGAAAAATGTACAGTGAAAATGTTCACCAGATCGTGATCTTTTAGAGACTCCTAACAGCCATGACTGATCGCTCATCGCTCCGATATCGGTACTTCCTCCTCGTAGAAATTACGGCTCACAAGTCAGCCTAAATTCATGCAGTTTGTTAGTTGTGTGTAAGCCCGTAGCCCCGAGAACAGAGCACTGATTTCGCGGAGCGAATGGCGAACTATGGAGTGTGGGCGCTGATCTCCACATTGATGGAGTCTGCAAGCCACTATCCGATGGATCTTGGCTTGGGTTCTTTCAGAGACAGTATCAATTGGTTAAGCATATCAAACTTACTCCATGGGATGGATCATCATGGTGATAAACCATACTAAGACACAGAAAGTTGCGTAAATAATAATCCTTTAGCTGTATGCGGAAAATGCACCGATATTTCCCAAGGCATCTATGCATCCTTAGATCTGCCCATCCCACTGCCAGGTGGCAGTCTTTGTGGCTTATGCAACGGTATAGCCTGCCGGTGCACTGAACTAAGAATTTGCTCAACATCCCAAATACATACGTCGTATCTATCCACATCATATCGTGCCATCTCATTCAGCGGCTACTGGCAAATTTTAAGCTGAATCCTCCGTTAATTAATGAAGGGTCAGGTTGGAGCCCAGATCCACGAAACGTTACATCTGTTTTCTGTTTCTTGGTAAAGCCTTCCTGGTGGATAAGTGTACAAACGTTACACGGGACACTTTCCATGCCAACTCCATTCAATTCGCTGAGATAATCCCTCAACAGCAGTCTAGATATTCAGCACATGCTTGAAATAGGATAAGGTATACGGTTGTCCTCTGCTTCCCAGATCCACTCTGTAAACTACTCGACATATACAGGACAGCCGCCCTCGCGGCACTCAATGACCCACAAAACACAAAAGAATGCACCATGACCGCATACCATGCCAATGATGCCATGGACCCAAAGGAAAAAGGAAGCAAGAGAGAAAAACCCAAATCCCCCACGCTAGTAGGCATTCATCTCGGTCATCAAACCTACCGTGGACTTAAAGCAAGGAGTAGTCCCGTCGATCTGATCGACGCCAATCAGGGTCATGTAGATATGCCATCAATTAGGATTACTCGAATGATTTGTGCCATGAATGTCGGTAATGTATGCACGGGTGTTTCTGAAGGTATCACCATGCTGATCTGTTTACTTACAACTTGCAGTCCATAACTTGTTCGTACGTTGAACAGTACGTCAGTCAGGCACGAGCCTGCATCAGAGGTCGTACAGCAAGGGGGTGTCCGTGATTCTAGTGTTGATCTACCGGTTGCTCGCTCTCTGCAATTATAGGAACTATCTGGCCCTGTGAACTTGGTTGAATGCTGCCTAGTCAGTGTAGACAGGAGAGGTTGCCGCTGTGAATTTTCTAGCTCCAAGTCTGTAAGCGCAAAGAGAGTAAACGGGATCTTCAAATGATAAGAAAGGGACGTCTTGCACGGCGGAGCTCGTGCAAAAAATCTCCTAGTCTATGACAGTTAAAAATGACAGCAGCAATACGTCGCACGGACTTGAGTATTCGAAGAGACGTTCAAGCTGAAGGGACAGGTAGATGACGTTGCTTGCGTCGAGCATGATTCCAGTAAGCAGGTGGACATTGTAGCCACCCACGTTCATTAAGTCATGGAATATTCTGCGTGCTTTGTCAAGGGAAACAGGATCGTGGTCAAAGTGTGGTAGGCTACCAAAGTATCAAATATACAGTATGATCCAGAAGGCCCAGAGAGAAGTCTAGGGAAGTATTCCCGTCTGTTTTCTGCGACATGATAAGAGTCTATATTCAATCAGTTTACTGATTCTATGATTGACAATATCCTGAATATGTATCATGGTATCATGCACGGCTGACCAATCCGAAGGTCCGTGTGTCTTACACAGACGTTCTACCTTACATCGGACTCCCCGAAGTTTGTATATGAGTGTCAAAGGCAGAGTTCCACCCAGCCTCTAATCTTAACCCATCTAAACCATATAGCGAACCTTATAGACATGAAATAAAATTCACCTACGCTCAGATCTGAGCCCAGAGTGGCCTTGGAAGGTCGTCACCGGGCTTGATCATAGCCCCTTGATGGGAATCTGATGGAACAGACACCTGAGCCGTGAGCCCAGGTCGACTACCTGGCACCGGCATCTGGAACCCAACATAGGCCTCACGGCGGGCAGGTTCCCCCACCGTGATAGACCAAGTATGCAGGCCGTAGTAACTCGCAATGGAATGAACGAGCCAGCGACTGACGAAGGTAAGTATAGATCCAGCGGAAGATGGCATTCGAAACTTACCCAAAGCCAGCGGCCCGGTCATCAACCAGGCTCTCGAACACCATTTTCTCACCATCTCGCTCATTATGCTGGCATAAATTCGCGCGCAGTTCTCGCAACCTTGTCCTGTGCTCAGGCGAGTCATGCATTTGTCCATTGCGGCCCACAAAGACAACTTCATCCTCGGATTCGTCCTCGGACGACAATGGTGCATCTTCCAACCCTTCTTTCCGCAGCATCAGCTGTTTCTCGCTCCATGTCTGGATAAACTGTCTAATATCGTCTTCCAAATCCTGGAGCATCCCACGAGCAGCACGTGCATGCTTCAATCTCATGCGAAGTTCCTTGGGAATGCGATGCTTCTCATGCCTCGTGCCTTTGGGAGTCTGCTTGGAAGACGTCCGGTCGAGGTGGGCATATTTCACTTCCCAGAGAGGTGCAAGATAGTAAGGCATGGGATCATGTCGCGGGTATGTCGGCTGTACCGCCCAATCACTGGGTGCAGGCGGTTCAACCCAAGGGTTATGCAAGAGACGATCTTTGAGAGAAAGTCCATCAGCAATGACGCAAAATGAGGAGCGACGCGTCGCACCCTTTGGGGGAAAGGGATGCCTCGAAGATCATGGCATTCACGTCATAAGTCAAGACATACCGTTCTCCCAACGCTGTCTGCGCCGACTCCCGTCCTTTCCTTTGAGGAGCGCTTCCCGTCTCTTGAGACTATCGCGACGAATGGGTTCTCGACGTCTGAATGAAACCGAGGCAACCGGTTGCGTCTCGGACTCCCGAGTCACAAGCTTGACTTTGGGTACAGCTCCGGTATGCACCACAGGAACTGGGTCGTCTAGAGGAATAGATAGAGGAACCGAGGAGGGGCCGCGCAGAGGGGAATCACGCGTTGAAATGAATTCAACATTTCTGTCGTCCGCCGATCCAGACTCCGACAGAGTCAAATTCCGCAGCGAAGCAGCCGCGTGCTCCGACCAAGCTGAGATTGCTCGAGTCTGCTGCGGTGTCAGGCGTCCCGGTGACTCGGCCTGGGCCTGGGACTGCAGTGTTGGATGGATGGCCATTCTGAAAGACGCGAGCGGGCTATCGATAAGTTCGGATGGATGGGGCGTATTGGGAGTGGCAAAATACCCTTCAGGGACAGGAATGCACAGAACGCTCTGAATCTGCTGAATGAATGACCTCTGCGTCGACTGAGGAGAGAGGACGACGGTCAAGAAGGAATGAGGAAGCAACGAAAAGAGCGGGGGGATGAAGGGAGATAAGAAACGTGAAAGCAGATAACCAGTTGTCGCGTCCAAAGCCGAAGATCGCGGGTCCTTACCCGAAGAGGAGTGGTACAAAACTTTTCTCCCCAAAGAAAAAGGCCTCGGGTTGACTCACGATGGGGCACGGGTTATAGAAGCGCCCATGATTGGTGGTTAGCTATCCATGCCCTAGCCCTGATTACCCCTTCCAGCATCTGCGATCTGTGATGCTGGCTGCAGGTACCTCTCTACATCATCATCTGGTCGATGATGTTAATTCAAATACGAACGGAGTCATCTCATTATGATTCAAAACCATGGTGAGTAATGGTCATTTGTGCTTCTGGTTCGAAAATAAGCTGAGGCCGCCCTAATTGAATTCCCATATTGTAATAGAGAGGTATGTTCTGAGCATAGCTAAATATTCCAGTTCAACGATGCTATGGTTGAAGCTTTAGTAGTTTCCTTGCTCTCCCAGTATATCTCGACTGACGTATTGCTATCTTACTGACTGTTAGCGTTGATAATTTAGTGGTTGGGCCACCTGGATTGTTGTGCTATGAGTAACGCGTCCCAAAATCAACCCTGATCCCCTCGACGAGGCCCCAGGCACCCACGCCGCCATATCCATGCGGGGAAATTGTCAGCCTTGTCGCCTGAGGCATGTTGATCGGCGAACAGAGTGGAGGACACGGTCGCATTCTCCAATGAGTCACTAAGCACTAAGGCATCATGATCAAAGACTTGAAGGAATGGGTAGATGATTTAATGGAGATTTGACACGAGCACAATGAGCGTCATGTCAAATGTCAATATCATTCAAGATCCAAAAATACACAAGAGGGCAAAAGAGCCCTGGATCAAGGGACAGATGTAAGACGGGAGAGATCAGACCATCCCCTCACAGAACCGGATTTGCTTGTTGCTCGTTGGTACCTCTTCAGAACGTGAGGAGTCGATGATTTGGGTTAAAATAATCTTACAATAATAAAGTAACTAATCACCTAGGTCAACCTAACCAGAATTCAGCAAATATTAAATCCAATTTAGTCCACTGGAGCGGCTAAGCTACCAACCTCGGTCCTGAACTGCTCTATCATTTATTATTTAAGCCAGCGCTCACCTCTGACGCAACGGAGTCCGTGTCTGGACTTGGCCAGTTGCTCGCGATAACCAGTCCATTATTATCAACCCAATCATCACCGTATTTTCCATCTATTCTGAGACAAACGAGCTGTGCCTTGCACTGCAGTCCCTTTTGACTTGGAAGGGTCCTCAGCACACATCATTCAATATCCTTCAATTTCTCCTGCCTCACCAAAGACTGTGCTTACACCGTTCGACTTCGAGGCTCACCAAACATCAATTATATTTTCTACATTGTTATTTGTCTTGTTTTATGAACTACAGGGGATAAATCCCATTGATTTACTATGAAAGTCCTCGCAGCTATTGCGCTGAGCGCAACAGCGTTCACAGGGGCTCTAGCTGCAGTGATTACTCAAGAAGCATTCTTAAACAACCCTCGCATCCATCATGACCAGGACAAGTACTTGATCGAATTGGCGCCTTACCGAACACGATGGGTGACTGAAGAGGAGAAATGGGCATTGAAATTGGTACCATACTTCCCCAAACCTTGGATCTCCAGCCCGACAGGTGACTAACTGCACTATTGCATCAAGGACGGCGTGAATTTTATCGATATCACAGAAGAGCACAATACCGGATTCTATCCGACTCTCCACAGCGCCAGCTATGTCAAATACCCGCCGAAGATGCAGTATGCTGAAGAAGTGGTTGCGCTTAACAAGGATCTATCGAAAGAAAACATAAAGGTCAATCTGGAACGATTCACATCATTTCATACTCGCTATTACAAATCTCAGACGGGAATTCAATCAGCTACTTGGCTGTACGACCAAGTCCATAGAGTTGTCTCCGAGTCGGGAGCCGTTGAGCATGGTGCAACTGTTGAGCGATTCTCTCATCCATGGGGTCAGTTCAGCATTATTGCCCGAATCCCTGGCCGAACGAACAAAACTGTGGTGCTGGGCGCCCATCAGGACAGCATCAATTTATTTCTCCCGTCAATCCTGGCTGCTCCCGGTGCTGATGACGATGGAAGTGGGACTGTCACCATTCTCGAAGCGTTGCGCGGTCTGCTGCAGTCAGACGCCATCGCCAAGGGCAATGCGTCCAACACTGTCGAATTCCACTGGTACTCTGCAGAAGAAGGCGGAATGCTGGGCTCCCAGGCAATCTTCTCCAGTTACAAGAGGGCTAGGCGGGAAGTCAAGGCCATGCTCCAGCAAGACATGACTGGCTACATCCAGGGAGCTCTGAACGCGGGTGTCGAGGAAGCCGTAGGAATTATGGTCGATTATGTCGACCAGGGCCTCACGCAGTTTCTCAAGGACGTTGTTACGGCGGTAAGCCTCAATTGCCCCTCACGGAAAGCCGTTCACTTGACGAATGAACTGACGAGCTGCATTAGTACTGTTCTATGGGTTACCTGGAGACCAAGTGCGGATATGCTTGCTCCGATCACACATCGGCCAGTAAGTACGGTTATCCCGCGGCTATGGCGACTGAAGCGGAGATGGAGAATACCAATAAGAAGATACATACTACCGACGACCAGATCAAGTATCTGAGCTTCGATCATATGTTGGAGCATGCGAAGTTGACTCTCGGCTTTGCTTTCGAATTGGCATTTGCGCCGTTCTAACTCCTCTCATGCTTTATTCCAGAGGGAAGGAATGATTGGAAAATGCTTGTTTTACTTGTATCACAAGGCGTTCGAGGGTTTGGGTCATGGTTTGATTGGGAGAACTTGCCATTCATGAGGTACTTCCTGTAGGCTGCCCACTCACAAACTGATTATACCATTATACGAGTCTCATGGCATATCTATACACGTGTTGACAATGCGTCAACTTATCTTCCCGTCTTTCACAAATTACCATGGGAATCCGAATAGAACTGTAGAGTCTAATCATCACGTGACAATTGCGGATATCATCGATGGGACCTTGATCGCTGTCTATGATTGACTTAGAAGACAGCGGTGAGTCAAAATGTCAGTCACAAGTTTCTGTAGTTTTCTCTTGCCGTAAATTTTCAGGATAGAACGTCATTTTCGATTGACTGTCCGTCACCCTGCTATGAAACAGTCCAATCGACCACTGAGCATCGAATGAATATTTAATTGATTTATGAGGTCATCGAGCCACCCACCTAGTATCAAGATCACTTCCATTGCAATTGCCAAGCAATTGTCCACAGCTCCTAGTGCTGCTTCCTGAGAAATCTCTGGTGTGATTCTTCCCCAGGTCTCAATTGCCAGAGACAAGTGAAGCTCTTGAGACCCCAATTGACTGTCCTGCTTCGCTCTTTCTAGTTTCATCCAGGTGTTCTTATCATTGATCACCTTCCTGATTTAGAGCAACGTCGAATCAGACGAGAAGGAACACAGACAACTTTCACTTTGAAACTCCATTGTTTCTCCCCTGGAAGCTTAATCGTGCAAGAGGACCATATTTATCTTTGTTTTCTCTCTCTCCACTGATATCATTTCCGTCATCATCATCATCATCATCGGCGGCTTGAGTTTTTTCTTCAGATAGAATTTCGAACTGAACGACAAGCTCGGCTTGTCTGAATTCTGAATAATGGATCCCAGTAGTCCGTATTCCAAGGAACTACAACTTGCATGCCTCACAGTGCAACGGGCTGCATTATTGACGAAGAGATTGCTCGAGGCTGTCGACAAAGGATCACTCGACAAGAGTGATTCCACCCCTGTGACCATCGCCGACTTTGCTGCTCAGGCACTTATCATTGGCGCTATCCACAAAGCCTTTCCCGAAGACGAATTTGTGGGTGAGGAGGATTCAAAGGCTCTCCGTGCAGATCCAGAACTTCTTGAGCGCACGTGGGAACTCGCCTCTACCACTCATCTCGATGACAAGGACAGTGAAGCCCTTCTCTACGCTCCCAAATCCAAGGAGGAAATGCTTGACTTGATTGATCTTGGAGCTCGTGGCAAATGTAGCCTGGAGAGTCGTGCCTGGGTTCTGGATCCTGTAGACGGTACTGCGACCTTCATGCAGGGCCAGCAGTATGCGGTGTGCCTGGCACTGGTGGAGAATGGATGCCAGAAGGTCGGTGTGTTGGGTTGCCCGAATCTCAATCTTGCTACGGGCCGTCTTCGAGAGGATGTTGTGGATCGAGATGGCTATGGATCTCAAGTCTTTGCAGTTGCTGGTCAAGGTGCCTGGATACGGAAGATGGGACGCGGAGCTCTGCTCGCTGCTGATAGTATCGGTCAGAGGCCACAGATTACAGACCCGAAGGACCTCGATTTTGTGGACTGTGGGTCCGCCACATCATCTAATACTTCCCTGCATGCTCGAGTGGCATCGAAACTGGGTGCTCCGTGGCCGTACAGCACTGATCTTTGGGCTGCACAGCTGCGCTACATAGCCATCGCGGTAGGAGGCTGCAACGCTCTGATCAAGATCCCCCGTAAGGCATCTTATCGGTCTAAGATCTGGGATCATGCAGGCGGCATGTTGATTGCACAGGAAGTCGGCGTCAAGGTCACTGACCTTGCAGGAAATCCTGTCGACTGCAGCTTGGGCCGAACCCTAGCTGGATGCTACGGGATGATCGTGGCTCCTCCTTCCATTCATGGGCGGATCGTTGAAGCTGTAAAGGAGGTCATGCAGGAACAGACTGAGTGATGGAGTTATTCGGGGCAAAATGTTTTGCATTTTATTGGACTACGTTTTGGGTTGGGTTATCGTCATAGCGAGATTCTTCTCGCGCTGTGCAGGCTCACAGCGATTATCAATATTACCATTATTAAGCTCTAGAGGGTCATTGCGACCAAAGGACTGCATCAGATAGATATGGCGACGCACTGTTTAGGATTTGTCCAATGTAGCATCATTCTTCAGGCCAGACGGAGCTATCCTCTGAGACAGCGTTGCTCTTGGTATATTGAATCATATTCAGATGGCTTTGCGGCAGTTCGTAGCGACTCAATTACTAGTGTTCAAGGGTAAGCGAATTGTAGGTACCTACGCTCTCTGCACTATCTAGATAGGCATCATATGACATGCCCCGTATAGCGCCCGTGCTCTGATCAACGGTCTGTGGGGCCTGATTAACAGAAGTGACAGAAGCTCTACCAGGGATTAGATAGATTGCCACAAGTAGAAAGACTTTATGACTTTCCTAGAGAGGTGACTTGGAATAAGGTAAGGGTTATTACTAGCACAGAACATTTATAGACTGAAAACGGACGTCTGGGTATTATGTCAATAACCTGGCAGTAGCTACCTCTCTAGTAGTAACTGCAAGAAAAGTCGCCCTGCGCCGTGGAGTATGAGTGATGTCATCAGTTTCAGCTTCCGTCACTTATCACCATTTTTTCATCGATATCTTCTTGTCGGAAAATCGACAGTAAAGGAACACGAAATTTGAAAAGAAGAAATTCAGTATCCTCAGACATGTCTCTCCGGTAACTCTAGTAAATCAAACATGGGTTGTTCTGGTACATCTGAGTCGTCGTCATATGAATCAAGAAAGTTCATGGCGAGCGAGGATCAACCTTGTTGGCTGTCCCGGAAGCATCTCGTTGGCCACTCAAGATTGTCAGGAGACCTCATGATGCGGGGGTAGGTACTCGTCTCCATGCACTTCTCTCTCGTAGGCTGAATCTTATAAGTATCTTCTCCCTCTTGCACTTCTCTCCTGAATTCAACTTCGAATAAGAGTGTGCGTGTAGTCTGTCCTCTCTCACCTGAAGCAGGCACTATGGCTATTTGTAAGTGTCACCCTCATCGTCATCGTCATCGCTCATATCATCTCACCTCGTTCATGTGCTAATGGTATAGACAATCCGTTTGCCAGGCGCGAATCCCACGGCCGTTATGCGCTGTCGACGTATCGCGTCCTCGTTCCTCTAACATGGCTGCTCGTTGTCGTAGTTGGCATCTACTACACTTTGCATTCTCCAGATGATGTCAAGCATGGTCATAAAATCTTCAAGCAGGGAAACAGGCATATCACTCCCTTCAGTTTGAACACCACGATTACTGAGATTTACTGGTATGCTTACCTCGAGCGGGTGACTTTGTCATACTCTACATACTAACTACGCTCCATTGTCAAGGGTTCTTCTGCTCCTCACCCAGCTCAGCTATGTCTACCATCTGTTCTCAAATGATGGCGCCATCGCCAACGCAGCTGCCAACGTCGGATCTCATTTCATCCTAAACAACCTCTTTACCCTCGCCTGGATCCTTTTGTGGACTCGCAACCACTTCTGGGCCTCGGAAATCATGCTGGCCGCAAACTACCTCAACCAGCATGCTGCCTACTGGCGTCACCGTGCCCTGCCGACGTTCGTACATCTATCGGCAATCGCAGGCCCCTACGCCTGGACTCTGATGGCACTTTTCTGGAATGGCGCCGTCGCAGTCGGCAGCAATAGTTTCCCCGCGCGTATTGCCGCCAATATCTTCATCTGGTTGATTTTCGCCTTCGGCTCGACCCACATCATGGCGACCCAGGATGACCTCTTGGGCTACTGTCTGACTTTCTTGACTCTTGGTAAGTCTGGCCCACCTTGTAGGGGAGAGACACAGAAAGCTGACTCCTTGCAGCTTTGGCCGTCAAGCAATTGGCAATCAAGGTCATTGCGCTGCAATGGATCTTTGCCTTTGTCATCTTCGCTGTCTTTCTCGTCGAGTCGATTTACCTATCTGGCACCAAGTACTCCGGTCGCGACTCGCTATTCCGTAGAATCACGGAGCCTGAGCCTACTGACCGCGAGAGAGAGCCTCTGCTCAACAATGCTGCCAACCCTTAAAGGAGGAGGGCTGTTGCTGCTAGCCTCTACAGAACTCTGTTTGCCCATTTGAGTCGAACAGTGAGTTATCGGATTTGACAAATTGGATTGTTATTTCACTTCACGTCAGCCTTACGTGCTAATTATTTATATGCACGATGTCCCACGAGTGTTTCATGTCCTCTCCCCTCTCCATTTGTTCACCTACCTTCCAGTCTATTACCTCTATTACCACTTGATCAAAAGTCCGACAGTAACCCAGCTGATTGCCTAATGCTTATCGAACATCTACTTGAATTATCCGTTTGCTGCGTTGTCTTACGAGTTTGCATACCTTAGTACTGGTGGGGCACTTTGACAAAGCGTCCACGGATCTTGATGTTTTATGTCTATCTAGTCTATCTCTCGATCTTTCGGCTCACCTAGTCTAGCTTCAATTTTTGCTGAGTTGACCGATCTCTTGGCCCCGCCAAAGTGGGTTATAAACAATGGTTGCGGGTGCGTCACCATGTAACTACGAACTGTAAACATCAGGTCCGTAGCTCGTGCATCATCCCGCCTTTTCGAAGGATGATACCATTAGAAAATAGGCTATGAGAATCAAGCAGCCTTTCCTTGATTCCCTCAAGTAAATAGATGATTTTAATCATCGCCTCACACCTAACCAATGTCTCGGAACATGCAAGGCACAAGGAACGGGATTTGCGTCGCCCCGCTGGTTGTCAGCTCCAGCCCGCCCCGGTTGCCCTGGAGACAATCCATACGCAACAGAGATGCACTCTAAGCTCTCACATTTCCTTGGGACAGTCAATGTGATCCATGCTTAGCGCTTAGGTCTGAAAGAAAAAGGTTCGGAATCCATATTTTGTTCTTACCTCTGAGTGAAATTTGTCTATGGTATTGGCAGATATCAGTTTCTCAAGCATACTAGTCAATCCCTCGAACAATTGGTCTTTTCTTGCCACGAGCTTTTCAACTTGATTACATTCTATAGCTACCAAAACCGCATTGTTTACGACAGTGTATAGCCGGCCTCGTTACCTCTTTTCGCAGTGAGTTACATTCCAGTGCATAAATCCCCATCATCCATCCCGTGGATCAAGTAAACTGACGATTTCTTCACCATCTAACCAGGACACGACGTGTCGATCCCATTGACGACGTTGGGCTGTGTGCCTGTGTTACCGCTCTAAGACTGAGATTGTCTCGGTTTCTCGCTTACCCATAGCAAAGAAAGCTACGAGTGTCGGTCTCATCACAAAGTGCCATGAAAGCGTAAACCAGCAGTCATCCCATCCACCATGAGCTCCAACTCATCGCGAATGTATCCACCCGCTCCAAACTACGAGGAAGAACCACCGGCATACGGCAATTATGGAGAGACGGCATCCTTCCTCGCAGATCACGATTCGTCACCCCGTCATCAGGGGGCCACCATGCGCCTGTTACCCAATAGCACCGATGTGGATGACGATCTAAGTGTCGATGTGGGAAGGGGTGCAAGTCATCAGTATGAGATTGAGTACTCTGATAATGGATCGTAAGTAATATCCAGTGTTTCCTTCTGCTACAAATCTTGTCTCCCCGGAATGTCATGGGCCCCGCCGCATGCCGAAGACACCTAGTGGTATCTGTCTGTTGCCCTTCGTCAGATTGTTTCCTGCTTCGTATCCCTTGTTTGGACTAAAGTGCGGAGCGCTCTTGTTTGACTGGAACTGCAATTTTATCTTCTCTCTCTTGAGGAACAGACTGCATGTTCTATTGTCTCTGCTCTTCTTTTTCTCATTTGCTACCCTTACGTGCTACGAGTCGTGTACGCTCAATGACTGCACATGTTTGATACAAGCAGTCTACCTCGAGCGGCTCGGACTTGAGCGCTATCGCTATGATTGATCCAAACCTTCCTAAAATAATTTCACCGAGAAGGCCTAGAGCTAACGCGCAATATGTGCCATATAGCGGAAATGCTACCGCAGGATACGATAGATTCTACAGCTATAGTGGTGAGGAATCTCCGTCACGACCTGCTTCGAGTCTAGGAAATGTGCCATCGATCCCTCCACCAGCCGCTTCCGCGGTCGACGTGCCGCAGTATTCATCGCGTCCTGCTTCTCCCCTCAGATCCTGGTCTCCAGCGCGCGCGGCGGACTGGACAAGGCCGCCCGCTCCACCGTCTATCGCCGGCTCGCAATACGAACGCGCAGATCTAAACGGCAGTCCAAGGCCAGGTACACCCAGCTCCAGATACGGCGGCAGCCCTAGACGCCCCTTGCCACCAGCTCCATTGTTTGCTGGTCCTGGAGCAGCAACCGGGCAAGATACAAGCATTGATATCGGAGATGGCAATAATCCTGACGATCCATTTGGAGGAGGGGGAAGGACGATCAACCGACATGAGCACCGTGGAAGCATCCGATCGTTTATGAGCGAATCGACCATGATCACAGACGAAAAGGACGAAATGGCGAAGATCAACCTCGATGAAGATGATGCCGCCGACGTCGATCCCAACATGCACTATGGTCCGGCTCCAGAAAAGCAAAGTCGTCGAGGAGTTCGAGATGCCCAGATGTCCAAGAAGGAAGTCCAGTTGATCAACGGTGAACTGATCCTGGAATGTAAAATTCCCACGATTTTGCACAGTTTCTTACCTCGTCGGGATGACCGCGAGTTCACGCACATGCGTTATACAGCCGTTACATGCGATCCGGACGACTTCACTCAGAAGGGCTATAAACTACGCCAACAGATTGGAAGTACCATGCGCGAAACCGAATTATTCATCTGTGTGACCATGTACAATGAGGATGAAACTCATTTCACCCGTACCATGCATGGTATTATGCGAAACATCAGCCACTTCTGCTCAAGATCCAAATCGCGAACATGGGGTAAAGACGGATGGAAGAAGATTGTGGTTTGTATCATTGCAGATGGCCGCAAGAAGGTGCACCCTAGGACTCTCAACGCACTGGCAGCATTGGGAGTCTACCAAGAAGGTATCGCTAAGAATATTGTCAACCAGAAGCAGGTCATGGCCCATGTGTACGAATACACGACTCAGGTGTCTCTCGACTCAGATCTGAAGTTCAAGGGAGCTGAGAAGGGCATCATGCCCTGTCAAGTGATCTTCTGCCTCAAAGAACACAACCAGAAAAAGTTGAACTCGCACCGTTGGTTCTTCAATGCCTTTGGACGCGCTCTGCAACCGAACATTTGCATCCTTCTGGACGTTGGCACCAAACCCGAGCCCACTGCGTTATACCATCTGTGGAAGGCGTTTGACCAAGACTCGAATGTTGCCGGAGCAGCTGGTGAGATCAAGGCCGGCAAGGGCAAGAACATGATGGGCTTGTTGAATCCGCTTGTCGCAAGTCAGAACTTCGAGTATAAAATGTCCAACATCTTGGACAAACCCTTGGAATCGGTCTTTGGATACATCACTGTGCTTCCCGGTGCTCTCAGTGCGTATCGTTTCTTCGCTCTGCAAAACGACGCCGATGGCAACGGGCCGCTTAATCAATATTTCAAGGGTGAAACGCTGCATGGCAAGGATGCTGATGTCTTCACGGCGAATATGTACCTGGCAGAAGATCGTATCCTGTGCTGGGAATTGGTAGCCAAGAGGGAAGAGAGATGGGTTCTGAAATTTGTCAAAAGCGCTGTCGGTGAAACTGACGTTCCAGGTGAGTGCTTGCGTTCGGATTATTACGTCAAATTGAAGCTAACCCATGGCCTCATCAGACACCATACCCGAGTTTATTTCACAGCGAAGACGTTGGCTGAACGGTGCTTTCTTTGCGGCCGTGTATTCCCTCGTCAACGGTAGACAACTTTGGAAGACCGACCACTCTGTTCCACGGAAGATTCTTCTTCAGATCGAGGCGTTCTACCAATTTTTGAACCTGCTGTTTACTTACTTTGGATTGGTATGTGATATAGTTCTGCTTGCTGATCATGTACTGACCTCTGCAGGCGAACTTCTACCTGGCTTTTTTTTTCATTGCGGGATCTCTATCAGACGATAAGATTGACCCATTCGGACACAACGTGGGGAAATATATCTTCATTGTCCTGCGGTACGCCTGTATCTTGGTCATGTGCTTGCAATTCATCATTTCGATGGGTAATCGACCACAGGGGTGAGTGTCCCGATTATCCAGCAACGAAAAAGCACGTTACTAACATCCCCAAAGAGCAAAGAAGCTTTACTTGTCGGGCATCATTGTCTATAGTATAATCATGGTCTACACTGCATTCTGCGCTCTCTACCTAGTCGTTCTAGAGCTGATGGCGAAGGCTGGGGTGGGCAAGAAAGACCTCGGTGTCAGTGATGCACTCTTCGTCAATATTGTGGTGTCCCTGCTCTCCACCGTTGGTCTCTACTTCTATTCTTCGTTCCTTTATTTGGATCCATGGCATATGTTCACCTCTTCGGCGCAATACTTCGCGCTCTTGCCAAGCTACATTTGCACTCTGCAGGTCTACGCCTTCTGTAACACTCATGATGTGACCTGGGGTACCAAGGGAGACAACAGCATCAACACCGATCTGGGCGCAGCACGTATCATTAACGGAACGACCGTCGAGGTGGAGATGCCCTCAGAACAGCTTGACATTGACAGTGGCTACGACGCCGCCCTGCGCAACCTCCGTGACCGTCTCGAAGTCCCTCCACCCCAGGTGTCCGAGAACCAGCAGCAAGAAGACTATTACCGCGCCGTGCGTACGTACATGGTGTCCATCTGGATGGTTGCGAATGTCATCCTCGCCATGTCCGTCTCCGAGATCTATGGCGTCGACGCGGGCGGAACAAATGTCTATCTGGCCATCATTCTGTGGTCTGTGGCTGTGTTGGCGCTGATCCGTGCCGTCGGGTCCACGACTTACGCGATCCTGTTGGTGGTTCAGAAGATCGTCGAGGGCAAGACCAAGTTCGAGGCAGGTAATATTGCGAGTTCCAACAGTGCTACTTCGAGTCATGTGACGAGTAGATCGACGGTGCGGTATGGTGGTGGGACCAGCTTCAAGGATAAGGTGACTGAGGCTGGTTGGACCATCAAGAGGACGGCAGGCAAGGCTATGTTCTGGAGGAAGTAATGACGTTTTGGTGCCTGCATTTCTGCAAGCTGATGCGGTACTCTACGAGATATGGTTTCCTATCCTTTTCTTTTCATGTTGAAGTTGTGATTCGCGCGATACCGGTTGATATATTGACGGATTCATATCTTCCGGCTCATCACTTGGTTTTCATGTATGTACGTATCTGACGATTGAATGGATATAATGACAGGATGTATGGATAATTGGATTTGTCTTGCGTAGCGAGCCCTTCACAAGTGCAATGCCTAGCTAGACGCGAGGCTCAAAGCCTAGATTTGATATCCTCTGCTCTTCCCTGCACAATATCCGAGACAAGGCCCGCAGCCGCAAGGGTCTCCTCATCCTTGAAACGCTTGCCTACGAGTTGCAACCCAATCGGCGCCCCCTCATATCGCTCAGGACGATACTTCGCCCACTCACGCGCATCCTCCCCGCTCCGAGGATGATACCCACCATCCACCGGATCCAACTCCGGATCAACAACCAGCCCGCTCGGGAAAACAACACCCGGGTAGTCGAGGATATTCCAGATAGCGGTGTAATTCCAGTACTGCGATTCGCCCATCACCGCCGCGGCGCCGACGTACACAGGGCAGAGGATGAAGTCTACCGCGCGGGATTTCATGAGGGCGTGGTACGCGTCGCGGTACGCGTCGCGCTTGTAGTTCAGGGCCCAGTTCTCGGGGATGGTGAGCGGAGAGCCGCGGCTGTAGGTGAAGGCCCATTCTGTTAGGGGGAGGAGGGGCTCGCCGCTTTGGGAGAGGACGGTGCGTTGGCTGTTGGCGGCGTCGGGGAAGTAGAGGGATGACTTGGGTTGTTAGTTGGGGAGAGGCAAGGGATGGGTGCAGTGCAGGGTTGAGGGGGAGGGACGCACGACGATCTCCCAGCCGTGGTCGTGGCGGTAGGGTTCCCAGTCTACGACTTTTATGCCGGCTGCGAGGAGCTTTTCTTTGGCGTGTTGCAGGGCTCGGGTGACCGGGGGATGAGGGCGGACGCATCTGTGTCGTCAGTACTGTTGTCTAAGGGTAGGATAGTGGATGGGGCCTATGGAAATACCCGTCATCCCACATGATGCCAACCGTCATGTCTTCGGTGGCTTTCACGCGCCTCCAGGGTAACGGGGCTAGGGATGTTTCTGTCTCCCATGGCTCCTGGTCGATGACGGCTTGTTGGAAGAGATCCAGATCTTCGACACTCTGGCTTGCCAGCGGTCCGGCAGTGCCGCGGATGGACTCCTGTCCTGCGCCAGGAACTTTGACTCCCGTCCCAGGCAATCGGAGAGTCGTGGGGCGGAACCCATATGCACCGCAGAAGCCGGCAGGGGCTCGGACGGACCCGCCAATGTCGGTGCCGACACCGAGAGCAGCACACTTGAAGCCCATTGAGGCGCCCTCGCCGCCTGAGGAGCCGCCGGGCGTGAGGGTGCGGTTGTAGGGGTTCGTTGTGGGACCGGTGAGATTGTTGTCGCAGCAGAGATGCTAAGATGGGTTGAGTATGCGGTCCTTGCAGGTAGACAGAAGTTGCTTACCATCAATGACTGCGGCTGGTTAGTTCGCACATGAAAAACTGCGCCTGCTTTCTCAAGATACTGGACGAGCAATGCGTCCTCGTTTGCAATGTCATCGACCCTGGGTGCTGTGAGCTGGCGGCTTGGGTTGTTGCAAGCTGGAATCGTACCATGCCACAAAGCCTGCGTTGCAGGTTCGACCTTTTATTTCGATGTGCTCTTTGACGCTGATGGGGACGCCATGCTAGAGTTGTCTCGCCGTTAGGGCTGTTTTTTTTTTGGCATGATAGGCCAACCTACCAAGGGCCCAACAAGCTTTCCGGTGCGCTTAAAGTGTTCGTCAAGCTCTTTAGCCCTGGCAATGGCTCTCTCCGCCATAAACTCTGTAGCAAAGTTGAGCTAACACTGTTAGCTGATCCAGATGCAGATTGAAATATAGCTTGTGGTTGCACAGCATACCAACTGGTGACCCAAGACAGCTCGTTTGAGAAACGCAATGACTACTTCCTCGGCACTCAGTAGGCCCGCTCGCATACCTGCTACAAGCGCAGTAGCAGACATCTCGGTGATAGAGGCTTCTCTGTCGCTGAGAATACCGCTCTTTCGAGGAAAATCCGCGACATTTTTCTGGCGCGCAGGAGGCAGTCTGTGTGCGGGGAGGATCCATTGCTTGGGAACAGAGTTTAGAAGGACGTCTTTAGCTCGGCGTGCTCGAAATTCCCAATTCTGTACAGACATTTTGTAGTCCGCAGATTGATCAGAAGGCACCCTTATAGACGAGCAAGCAAGAAGTTAAAGTTAGATCATGGAAGAGGAGAGGGGAATATCTTATACCCCTCTTCGAAAACGCTATCGTGTACTAATCCCTTTGACACCGCCCCAAGCAGATACGTAGAACTCGTTCATGCTACAACTCCTTACATCTCGGAATCGGAATGCGGTGACAAGTTCCAATCAGGAGACATTATCCTTCCCCGCGCCTCCGAGGGAGATAACCATAGACATTGGAGATACGCCATGGTGGAGATTGGAGAAACTATTATCTACCGAGCGGCTGCTTGTTTGAAAGAACCGACAAGCTCTCTCCTCATGAAATTCGTACCATCGGTCCCTTCTTTCATGTATATCTGCGTGGGGTCTTGGGGTCTTAGCCACCAGGGCGTATCAGTTGCCCTTTTCATCCATCACAGGTATGGTTATAAGATGGATTTGGCCATTCTGGGCCACACAAAGGATCAATGGACGCAAGAGCAACGTCTCTGTCCTCCTTCAGGCAGCTGCTAGCCTGAGATCGTGCAGATTGACATATCTACCGGGCCAGAGAAGAGCATTTCGCTTCATGACGGAATCATTCCGCCAGAGATGCGGATAAGGTGGAGAATGAAGATGCAAGCTCGGATCAACGCTTTGATCAAAATACTGGAACAATGACGATAATATGGATGGGATCAGACGGGAGAGGGTAGTAGGAGAGTAAGCAGTTTGGTTGTTGAAGTGACATGGGCTTGTCAGGTGACAAAGAGCATCCCACAGACCGTCCCATTCCTGACATGATTTAGTCTTACAAGCATCCCCTGAGCCTATCCATTCTATGCCCAACATGACATTCTATTGCCTTCTTCGCTCCTCAAGTTCGGTCTACCACTGCCAGTGACAATTCCTGCGAACGCAACATCTGCCGAAGAGCGACCGACTCAATGCCATATTTCTGACAACACTCGTTGACCATGCTGATCAGCTTGGTAAATCCTGGGACATGTTGATCCGTGACGAGCACTCCAATGACGGCTAAGGACTTGTGCTGGCTGATATGCCACACATTGATTTCATGAATTGATAGCACTCCCTGAATCTATGCAAGTCACAGTCAGAGCTGAGATGATATCAGAGTGATACAACATCGCTTACTTTTTCCAGATCGCTTCTTAAGTCATTGAGATCTACGCCAGAGGGTGTACATCCCAGGAGGATGGATCCGGTTTTCCGCACTGAAAAGTGTCAGCACCACCTAACAACTCCACGGATGGAGAACAACACACGGAGCGGAAGAGAAGATAGTATGATTATGAAGGCAATCCATAAACTTGCTCCGGGATCAGCGTAATATCGTGCTTCAAATTCCGTCAACCAGATTACCAATGCAGCGATCATAACGCCGAGATTGTTCACTGCATCTCCGATAACATGGAGCAGAACTCCTAGCATTCCAAGATCACGGCAACTGGATTCTGTCCTCTTCGGTGGAAGTCCTATATTGTCCTGAGTCGAAGATTCAGCTGAGCTTATGCGTAAACCCGCAACTGTGGTAATGAGTGCACACCTTGTGTATCCCTGCCCCGTCCTCGGCTCTTATGGGCGAGTCTATCGAAGCGTTCAACGCATGTTGATGAACATGGGAACAGTCGTCTAATGACTTGGCATTAGTAACGAGACCGCGCATCCAGGAAGGCAAGCTTGCCATGAAGAATAATAGCGCTGAGGATATTGAGACCCAAGCCAACGCATCCAAGAATGAACATGAGTCTGGGATTCTCGATTTCTGTGGAATATCAGTAAGTCGCCTGCGCATTGAAGGAGGGCACAAACTATGCAATGATATAAATCGCTCCACCGACTGCAATAGAATGCTTATTCCCAGCGCAAAGAGAAGTGCTCCGTTAAAAAAAGCTCCCAATAGTGGTGCTCGCTGCCACCCGAAGGCCAGAATCTTCGGTTCATTGTCGATCTCAGAAAGCTTTTGTCTTCTGTGTCAGTACTTCTATACCCTAGGTTCCTCAAGACATTCATCCTACCTTCAAGGCCAACAAGGCGACAACGAACCCAATCAGGTCAGTCAACTGGACCGTTCAGCAGATGTCACCTGGAAGATAAAGCAAAGCGTACATAGTGAAAGGCATCTGCCACCAGAGCTAGCGAATGAGTATACAAGCCAACTGCTGGTATCAGCTTCGGATTACAGGATTCTTTAATCTGGATAGATGACAAATACTTGAGATTTCAGTCAAGAAGAAACATGACGATACCCCGATCACCATGATCAAGCGCTGTGAGCGCGACATGCTCAGGGCCATCTTGGAAAGCATTTCTCCAACGCTACCCAGATCAAAGTATTGAAGAAAGGAGTCGTTGTTAATAAGGGGAAGGCTAAGGAGACGCAAAATCTTCTCCTTTCCTTCTTTGCCTGCCCCTTGTGTAACTTCTCATTCCTCGGATACCTGCGGAGGTATGCAGAGAGTGTCGCCATTAATGACATTGTGGCCTCCTGATAGTGTGCGACGTTATCTAGCCCGAATTCGAAGCAGAACTAGTATGCGAGCCTACTCCTTCCACAGCAGGGGGAAATGCAGCTCTGCTAATTCTTGATCACTTGTTGCTACTGAGTATCGTCCAGTCAACAGCGGGACATTGGCTTGTCACTATACAAGACTAATCAATTGCAACGAGCATAACCATGATCGCCTTACATTGTACAAAGGACTTAAGCAGCCTCGATCCACCAAGCTGTCTAACTCTTTCTGCCAGTTGCCGTGTCTCGAAACCTGCCAAATGTTTGTATCCGGGAAACGGGGTCGTTTCACACAACTCTAGAATCTGGGAGGAGAGCTTCTGGGCTACGAAAGAGTGCATAGTAGATGAGATGGAGACGATTTCTGAAGCAACTGTTACTTGATAGGGTATAAAATACAAAAAAAAAAGCAAAATCGGTTAATGCTCGCACAAGTTAAACTCCCCCATTTCGAAGTCCAGGTTCTGTTCCTGCGACTTGTTGGAGCGCTCCTCCATCAATTCCTTGCGGTACTGCTTTGCCTCCTCCAAAGTTATGGGCGTAGCTTCGAGGCCCTCGTAGACCATATTCTGCAACTCAGCCGGGAGTCTCCCGCTCAGCAACTTCCCGACAACCTCCTGCCGTTCCTTCCACCAGTCCTCCTGCTGAGGCGGCACATTCGCCGAAGAAATAATCGAGAGATGAGGGTCTACGAGGAAGAAAGCAAGGATCTTGCGATGGCCTGGTTTGGTCCGATCCGCCAGCGCAAACGGCGACACCTGGTGCTGGAGGCTGTTTGGGAAGGTGAGTAAGCGTCCCTGACGAGTATCCACGCCACCCATGACCTGGGTGACATTGCCCTCGTTCCAGGCCGCCTCGGGATCCAAGCCAAAGATCTCCTGGAGGAATTCGTGTCGCGATTGCTCATAGGAGATGTATGAGACGGCGTCTGTATCCGCCCGTTGCCGGAACGCGAGTCTGCTGTCGGTGATGTTCTCGCTGTCGTAGTAGTAGATGGCCGAAGCGCAGATGTGCTCATTCTATGTGGGTTAGTGTGTGTGCTCCAGCCATCCCCGCAAAGGAACGTACCAGTTGTCCCTCGATATGCCACGATCCGCCGTCGTACTCGGGCTTCTCCGGGGTCAGCTCGATGTTGGCCAGCTTGACAATTACCTGCAGTCCGTTCTGGGCAAAATCCTCGCGCAGGTTGACCTGGCCCTCGGCCTCGATTACGCGGGGGGCAAACTCGCCCGGTTCCGGGCGTCGGATGGGCTGTCGTTTTTGCCATTCGTCATATCGTTGATAATATTCGTCCTCGTCTTCCTCGTCTTCCTCGTCTTCCTCGTTTGCCCGCTGGGGCTCCGGCTCGGGATGCTCGTCATATTGGACATCATCGTAGGGGATCCGCTTGTAATTATCCCGCACGAGGGTCAAGGTCGTGTTCCACAGCGGGATGGTCTGAGTCAGGATCTTCTCGATGACTTGGTACAGCGGCTGGTGCTTCTTCGGATGCAGGTTATTGATATACGACGCAATGCGGCATTCGCCATTGTCTGCGAAATGCACGTCACAGGGAAGCCACTGGAATTTGCGGCTGTAGGGTCGATAATGGCTTCGCCAGCCGCGTTCGTCGCGGTCGACCGTAGCGTCCTCTTCCGGAGGAACTGCAAGTACCTTGCCCTCCCCGACATTATTCAAAAAGTCTTCGAGCCCAATCAGTTTCCTATGGAGAATGCGAGTCCGGCCGTAGATGACCGGGAACAGCGACGGATGGACCAGGTCAACCACCTTGTCTTCCGATCCAGGATGGTAGTCTTTGAGCTCTTCGGGCACATCCTCCAGGGGCCGAACAGCTTCTCTCAGCATCTGTCGCAAGTCTTCCGCAATGACAGTATCAGATTTGACCACACCAGCATCGAATGCCACGACGTGCTTGGTGTCCCGGAAGACCTCAGCTTTCCACTGCGCCTCTTTAATGATCCAGTTCATCATGTTGGGAGTGATATCCTCTCCGCTGTCCATGATTTCCTTGCGCCATTTGGCAGTGATTTCTTCATCAAAGACCTAGATGTAATGTGTCAGCGATGCGCATTCAGGGAAGAAAGCAAACGCACCTTTTTCTCCCAGTCCGGCTTGTCGGTGATGGAGTTGAGCGCTCGCATCATCAAGATCTCCCGAAGGGTATTTAAACGTCTGCATCCTTAGCTTCAGCGCAATCTGTATCAGCAAGTAACTTACTGAGCGAGACTGGTCTCCAGTGCATTGGGGAACATGTCAGGATCGGTGTAGTTCAGGGGGATGGAGTAACCCGGTAAGTCGAAGCGCGTGTTTCCAGACTCCATTGTCATTGAGCGCAATTGTATGCGAGGAAGTGGTCTGAAAAGCCTCAGTACTGAGAGGACTCTGTTCATATTACGTGTGGTGATATTTATACGGAGAGTATCAGAGACGGCGACGTGTCGTGGGTTTAGGC